TTTTTTTTTTTTTTTAATGTCAATATATACATTTTCGTCGAGATTGCTGATTTTTATATTGCTTTATATACACTGTTATCTTGTTTTTTTTTTTTTATCTAAATACAGATTAGCATCGTGAGCCAGGAACCTGTTCTTTTCAACTGTTCGATCGAAGAGAACATTGCCTATGGATTTGACGGGAAAGCAAGTGCTACTGACATAGAAAATGCAGCTGTAAGTTTCTCTTTCTTCCAAAAGCCTAATGAAGAATGACCCTAAAAACTCACATTTGTTTGTTTTCACTGTATTTATAATAACTTGCAGAAAATGGCGAATGCTCACGAATTCATCTCTAACTTTGCCGAGAAGTACCAGAGCTTTGTTGGGGAACGTGGTGTGAGGCTTTCAGGTGGTCAAAAACAAAGAATAGCCATTGCCAGAGCTTTGCTTATGAACCCAAGAATCCTGCTTTTAGACGAGGCAACCAGTGCACTTGATGCTGAAAGCGAATATCTAGTTCAGGTCAGGTTCTATTTTTACAGAGCTCGATTTTTCTTGGATACTAAAAAAGAAATAAAAATAAAAACAAATGTATCACTATTCTACAGCAGAATGAAAGTTTCAAGACATTAATATATCCTATCACAGCCTTGAATTTCATCTTCGCACTTTTCACTTTTCGTACTCCTACTTTTTACGTACTACTTTTCGTAATGCTTGTGATATTCGGATCGAACAGGATGCCATGGACTCACTAATGAAGGGAAGGACAGTGCTAGTCATAGCTCATCGGCTTTCAACCGTCAAAACTGCAGATACAGTTGCAGTAGTTTCTGATGGTCAGATAGTAGAGAGAGGCAGTCACGATGACCTCTTAAGAAAGGATGGAATTTACACGGCCTTGGTTAGGAGACAGTTACAAGCACCAAAACCAGAAATATAGTCACTTCGTTTAATCACAAAGCAGTATTTGCTGATATAATCCGACGAATCCAAAACCGTCATGCTAATTCGTTCTTCATATGAACAATATATAGTCTTGTATATTTTCAATAGGGCTGAGAGTTCAAGCTTTTGTAATGTTAAGGTTCTTGACTAGATCTGGTTCTTTACAATTATTACCTCATTTAATTTAATCTATAAAATGGATATTTATAACTAGCAAGTGTGTTTATATATGTGAATTGATTCCTGCTACCTGAACATTTTTTCTGAGTAATTTCATTCCACTTCCATATTAGAACAATTTAAGGAGGTTGCAAGAAAAATAAGACGCATTATTCTTCACCTAACAAGTTATAGAAGATAAGTTGATGCTGGTTGATTCACTGCCTGCATAATCTTTTTCACCTGCAGGTTACGAGTGCAACATATTAACTGATGACCTAAATGAAAAAACTAAAGAAAAACAAAATAACGGAATTAACTGATGACCTAAATGAAAAAACTAAAGAAAAACAAAATAACGGTTACATAAAACGATATTGGAAGTTGGTGCATTCAATACAGGTTTAGCCAGACACTAGAGATGTATCGATAATGCCTTCACGAACTATTACCAGCCGCAGCTCATGAGCTTTTTCTAGACATGTCGACTCAAGCCCAGAAGCGCATTTCTTCTAGATGACAAAACGGACATAAAATAAAACAAACTGGAGTTCAGTCATCAAGAGCATCCAAAAACTTCATCCAATTTTGTATATAGATCCCACATTCTCTACAATTTCATTCTCTATATTGTGTGTAAATTCAAGAGAGAAAAAGACTATTTCTCCATTTTCAAACATTTTTTTTTTCTAATCCTTGCGCGACTTTCTCTACCCAAATTTTGCCTGCAGAAAATCAGAGGACCCATTAGCTGATTTTCTCTTTACGGGTTAAAATGTGGCTTATTCAAGGCAATGATGCCAGTGATTCCACATAGGCCTTAACATTTGTAACATCATCACTTGTCTCGGGATACTTTTGCGGCCTAAAAAGCTTCCACATTCCAGTCGGGTGCTGTTTTCGAGCCACACCACCTCCACTATTATACCTACCATAAATCTTTTCACACTCCGGATAAGGCTTCACGTACATATTATAGAATCTCATTCGACTCAGCCTAACTAAATCCCTCAAACCCACCTCATCCCCAAGCCCATCACTCGCACGCAGATGCTCAACAACTCTAAACCGAGGGACAATCTGTTTTTCGAAATTCACCCCCAAATACTCGGGAACCTCAACCAAGCATTGAACATCAAATTTCATCTCACGAACCAAAAATTCAATCTTTTTATCGATTTCGTCGATTTCGTAAAGAATCACCCTCGGTTCCTTCCATAAAACCGTGAACGCATCTCTGTAAATCAGCCCGTGTTTTCTTAAGCAATCAATCCTCATTTTTACTCTATATCCAGCTCTAACCTCTCCATCTTGATAAATATTCTTTCTAATGGCTGCCCGGCATTTTAACTTCCTAAGCATCTCCACACACTCTGAAAGCTCGCCATTTTCCAAACCAAGAATCTTGGGTTCTCTAAGGACCTCTCTTCTTATCACGTCTGAGCTAAAACCCAAAGCTTCAAATTCGTCGAGCAAAGGTTTTAATCTGTTGGTCACTGCAAATGATAGAATCTGAGGACACGAATTGAATATCCTATTGTGTTCCCTAGCCCGGATTCCAATTCCCATCAAGAACTCAACTTTACTTAAAATTTTATCCTCGTTCGACGTAATTACCATAGGCACTGCTTCTAAAACCCTAGTTACAGTGCTCCCACTGAAGCCCAGACCTTTCAGAAACTCAACACGCCTAAAACCACAATCCGGGCTCAGCCCGAATTTCGTGGCGATTTCAAGAACATTCCTAATTGCAAGCTCTGTAAGATTATTACAAATCCCCAACCGTTTGAAACCCAGTTCCCAATTTTCCAAGATTTCATGATGTAGGACACGGGGACAGCCAGTAACAGTGGAAACAAGAAAGTCTTGAGAGGGTTTAAGCGATAGTAAAATTTGAAACGATTTTTCGATTTCTGATTCGTTTGAGCTGAGCAGAAACTCATTCTTTTTGAGAAAATCGGGTAACTCGGAATGAGGGAAACCATACCTTTGAAAGAGATTGGATAGAGAAATCAAGTTCCTTTCGTTGGATGATGTGGTTGGGGAGAGAGATTTAGATTGTTTGTGAGCTGATGATGAAAATGGACGATTTGTTGTGGAGGACGATGATTTTCTGATATGGTGTAAAAGGGAGCATCTGATAATCCTAGAAGCCATTTTTTTTCTGTAAATTATGCAAGTTCTTGCTTATGTTCTAGGCGCATGTTGCTGTTAATAGCATCCACAAAGTTCAATCCTAAAAAATTACATATCATATAAGAAAAACATATTCTCCATACAAATAAAAGTAGACTAGATCTTGCTGACGTGGCAGCCAGAAAAAGAGACTGTCTCTCCTTAAATCTATTTTATAGCATCTACAATGCATTGGGTCTAATCTTGCCTGTGTGGCATGTAAATAAACTCAAATCTTGGATGACATGAATAAAATTATGTAAAATGAACAAAATCTACTCCAATGCAACTAGGTCTCTACTTGGGTCTAAAATAGACTTAAGGAGAGACCGGGTCTCTTTTTCTGGGTGTCACATCAACAGGACTCAGTCTACTTTTATTTGCATTGGAGAATACATTTTTTTAGACTGAGTATATTTCTTAGGCATACAATTTTTTGGGATTGAACTCAAAGCATTGTGGATGCTCATTGGGTCTAGTCTTGCCTATGTGGTAAGTAAATAAACTCAAGTTTTAAATGACATGAATAATACTATGTAAAATTAATAAATCTCTACTTGGCTCTAAAATAGACTTAAGGGGAGACCGGGTCTCTTTTTCTGGTTGTCACATCAGCAGAACCCAGTCTACTTTTATTTGCATTGGAGAATATATTTTTTTAGACTGGGTTTATTTCTTATTTGGCATGTAATTTTTTGGAATTGAACTCAAATCATTGTGAATGCTTAGCCCCAACTAGAGGCCTAATTTCTTTGCATTGGAGTTGATTTTATTAATTTTACATAGTTTTATCCATGATATCTAAGACTTTGGTTTATTTACTTGCCATATAGACAAGATTAGACCCAATGTATTGAAGATGCTCTAAACTGTTGGAGAATGACATGTGAAAATGACTCGATTATTAATAGCCAACAAAAAAAAAAAAACTATATAAGCATGTCCTTTCTTAATTTTGATCATATCTGGTTTTGCTGTTACTCATTTGTAGGGCTGAGCACGGGACTCGGAGAATTCCGAACTGTTCCGAAAACCGAACAGAAAACACTCCGAACCGAAAAATATCCGTTGACCGCTTGACATTCTCCAAACCGAAAAAATAATTGGTACGGTTCTGGATATTTCATAAATATCCGAACCGAGAACCAAACCGAACCGTCCCGTACCGTACCGAACCAAAGAACCGAAATTAAGAACCGAATTATAAAAATAAATGCGTATTATTAATATATTTTATGTCAACTTTGATCCTATATAATTTGAGAATTTTTAAAATGCAAATAAAATATAGTAATAACAATTAAGATTCACTTACATTTTATGATTAGCAATACTTGATCTACAATTGAATTTATCATGTTTAAAAAAAAAATTAAAATAGAATGAAAGGTTAAGATTTAAAAAATAAAAATATTTAAGCTTTACATAAAGTTGTCGATACTTAGGCTTAGTTTATCTTATAACTAATATGGTATGGAAGGTTAAATAAATATTACTTTAATATAAAACTGTGTTATATTTTGTTTGAATTTTAAATTTTTAATGTTAGTTGAATTTAGTCTTAACTAAAATTTAGGGTTACTTCTAAAGTTGATTTAAAAATAAAATCTTTAGTATGATGAAGTATTGATGAATGTTGGATTTAAAAAAAACATATAAAAAATAAAATATAAGTAGGTTGTCATTCAAAAAAATTTAAAAATGATAAGAAATCTCTGAATATCCGAACCGAACCGAATCGTCCCGATAGTCCCGAAAACCGAACCGAACCGAAAAATAAAAATCTTCGAACTGGACCGAACCGATTTTTGGTACGATTCTGGAGATCGAATTTTAGTGATCTCCGACCCATGCTCACCCCTTACTCATTTGGTTACATCTAAGATAATTTTGCACTATATTTTCACACTATTTTAAAAATATTTTACATATAGTACACATTGTCCACCGCGCAATAGCTTTTTCTCTTTTTTTTTCTTTGTTTTTAATTTTGACTAATTTTTACTTATGTGTATTATAAACAAAATACACACTAATAAATTTATTTATTTTGTTAGATAATTTATTTATTTATATAGTTGTACTTCAATTTGTTTTGCAATAATATATTTTATATAAAGCAAATGTAACGCGGACGACTAGAGACAAAAATTAATTTTAGCATTTTTACTTTGCGGGTCACAAGTGAGTGTTGAAATTGAGTATTTTGTTGAATTTCACTTGCAGTGAAAAAAATTGTATGCAATACAAAAACAATATATTTGGGTGGACAACTCAATGCTCAAGTCTAAGCACGTGGCTAATTGTTGAGGTGCGAGCTGTAGTTATAATATTAAATTTTTTTGTGAGGTGATTGCCCACCACCCACCTTAGATAAACAATTCTTGCTTAGTAATTGCTATAACCTTTTTTTTTTCTTTCTTTCTTTGCTATAAAGAATATCATCGGAACCATTGAACCATTGGTCCCAATAATCTCAGCCATTCATTTGTACTTTTTGTGTTGTTCTTCTGTTTGGTTAGTCGAAGATGTCTACTTACATGCTCCAGAATTGGTATCCCTGCCAAACTTTGTAGCCGATTTGGGTGCCCAATGACTTCAAAGTCGCGCAAATCATGTTACAAAATAAATGTATTATTTGCTGTCCGCAAGAGTATTGATAAAAACATAATCCAAGTATCCACAATGTAGTAAAATAATCCATCGCTAAGAGTACAAGTATCCAAAACAACGAAATGCACTCTGGATAATCTTGATTTACGAAACAAGAAAACTGAAACCACATTGTAATTCTGACATGTCCCAAAGAACAAAAGATCGAATATATTGTTTGTTACCCCTAAAATTCCAAAGGGGGGCTACACAACCAGTAAGGCATGTTTTTCATCCTCGCTAATTTGACGAGCCAAAGGGATTGTTTTAGTTGTTGCCACCTTCGAAGAGGTATCCCAATGAAGAACCTCCGCCAGGGGCTGCGTGAACCTTAGTAGAAGGCCGATAATGTCATCAAGAAAAGGTTCTCGTGCATCACTATCAATCAACATTATGAACACTGCGAAAAGGGGATTGAAAAAAAAAAACATGAATTACATGACCTGCGTTGCTTGTGAGACTATTCTAAGTTTTGCATCGCCAAAAATTTTGCACTATCCTAGTTCAAGAGCCCATACCTAATCTGAAGAAAAATCGATGTCTTGCGTAGAAACAAACTCCATTACTAATTTCGGTATTTCAATCTTATCGATCAAACACATTTCCTGATAAGTTATCCGAAACTATTTCTAAATATATGTTTCGTAAAATCAATTAATAAACACAAAGCTAAAGACCGCACATTTCACTCCCAAACACTAAACTCACGCCACTCACTAGCCATTGGTGCCAGTGCAAGCAAATTAACATGAGAATTAAAAAATCTAATAAAAATATAGCGATAACATAGCAAGAGGGTAATAATACACATATGGTGAGGAAGTTCCCAGTGTTCTAGCCATCGGCCCTATAATAGTTATTCCTCTGGTTGCCCTGGATGCCTGCCAGAGAGAAATAATGTAAAGTGATAGTTAGTTAAAATTATGTGAGTAGATGAATAGTGAATTAAAGTTGATGTAATCTATATATATATATATATATACATACATATATATATATATATATATATAAAGAGGAGCAACAAAGCATTAAATTATATTATCATGCATTAAATTTTATTCTCCCTCCAAAATTTTTAACATTCAATTTCATTTTTAAGTTACAAAATAACTTGCTTGAATGACATAAATTATGAACATAAACCAATTAAGGGAGTTACAAAATTGTACTCAAATTTTAAGTCACACCCACTCATGAAAATGGCCGGGTGTATTAGCATAAAGAAAATGATTGTAACGGTTCTTCCATAGCAATTACTTGATCAAAATCAATTTTGAGAATTATTTTCTTAATTTATATTTTTTTTATGAATTAAATTCTAATTTATTTTTATTTTTTTTATTTTGTTATCTTTTTAAAGTATTCTTCTCTGTGCAAATGCACAAGTTGATTACTAGTATATATAATTGTTGGCAAGCTTCATTTAATTTTATTCATCCTTCAATTAATAATAATATGAGTTCATTTAATAAAAATAAGTTGCATTTAATAAAAAGTTTTATGACCTTCATCAAAAAAACCGTTACAACATATTTTGTTTATTCTAATTTATTCCATACAATCATCCACCTATTTTTTTTTACTATTTTGGATTTGTAACAGTTGGATGCGATTATCATTTTTTATTTTTCTATATTTGGAGAATATAACTGTTGCATGGTTACGGGATAGTGTTTAAACCCTTAAATTTGAATGGTTTAAAATATATATTTTTTTTAATTTGTATGTTGATTATTCACATGCAAAAGAAATATTAAGTATTGATATGCTATAGATACAACGCAAAACATATATAAGGAAGGTCATCTTTTGTAATAGAGATCTTTGCACCAGCTCATTCAAATTCGTTTTTTTTCATACAAGATTATACACTATATTAGTTGAATTTAATTAAAAATAATTATCTATTTTATTTTATATAATAAATATAGTGATGAATTTGAATACTTTTATAATGTTAGTAACAACAAAATTTTTAAAATATGATACTATTATTTAACTTATAATTTTACAATTATACACATACATGTAAGTTATAAATTATAATAATTTAAATTTATGTGCATGTGCATGTGCATGTGCACAAGATTAAATCTAGTGTGTAAGAATGATTGAGTAATATTATTTAATTATATTGATAATATTGAAGATAGTGAAGTTGAGTTAAAGTTAAGTTAGATTAGAATTAAAAAATTAATTAAAAATAATTAATTTTTTTTTTTTTTTTAGAAAAAATTATATCCAAGCATCCCCTAGCAATGCTGAATATTTTGTTGACACGTTGTATTAGTTGCCACTGAGATCACTTGAAACACATTGAACACAAACAACAAAGGATAACATCAAGCATAATATTTCACCATAAGAAACACATAATTGAAGATACTTTGCATTTATGTGGAGAGGATTATAAATACACAATAGAAAAGGAATAAATGAATAAATATTGTCGTGTACTCGTATTGAATAAATATGGTTTATTCTGATTTTTGGGAGTCTATAATTTTTTCCGTTCCATTAAATTAATATATATATTTTTTAATATAAATATAAATTTGATTAAAACCACCCTGACGTTGCAATAATGCGCGGTCAATTACGAATTGGTCAATTTTTAAGGCAGAGACTAGAGAGTGAAGGTAAAGAAGGAAACAACATAAAATAAAAAAATAAAAAACAATAAAAATTCACTATATTCAGAATAATTGTGAAGAAACTACTAAAATACTCGAGCTAGGGTTTGCATCTCTCCTCTTCTCGCCTTTATTGGAGTTCTCGGAGTAGTATCGAATGGTTACAGCTTCATTTCAGCGAGATTCATCTACTGTCCACGACCCCTTTTCAATCCAGAGTATACAGGTCTGATTTACTGAGGCAATTTTGGAGAATTGTATGCACCTCGTCTTCTTTGAGATTTTTGTTGCGCATGCCTGATGAAGGGGTTAATTTTCGGAGTTATGTTGTGTGCATGGGATTTTAGTTCATTAAGCTTCACTTTGTTGCTTATTTCCTATTTACATCCGAGACGGCATTTTAAAATGCTCAAGCAATGTGTGGTCCGTCACAGTTTTCGGATGAACATGATAATGCGTTATTACATACTAGAATACACTGGATTGTAGTGGTGTGTGTGCGCGCGCATATGGATTTTCTGTAGTTAGAATTTGATTTCATATTGCAATATATCATTTCTGTTGGCATTATAAGCCCCTGAGAAACCTCTGCAGCTATAAGACCAATACCTCCCAAGAGAGTAAGCTGAAGGTGCTGTTAATATGTTCATATCCCCCATTCAGAATGCAATATATAAACATTAATATAAGTTGCTAGAAGTGGGTTCTCCCTTTACGTGATAGGGATTGAACTTGAGATTATTCGACTGACAGATTTGGCTAGTTTCTGTTCCGTGAACACTTAATTGCAGTGTCCGTCTGAACTAAGTTGGGTAACCTTTTTTCTTATGTTTTTGTTTCAGATAGTTCCTTGATTGGCACTGTTAAACATTGTGCGGTTTTTTGTTTATCTTGAGATGCTGTGAGCATAAATCTGCTCGATTGCCAATATAGTTTGGTTTGAGATGGATGGGCAAGGGAATCGTGCAAATCAGGCTGGGCAGGATCTGCCCACATTTCAGCAACGTTCTTCCGCCAGCTCAGCTCTTCCTCCTCCACCTCCTCATTCTCATCACGTCCCATTTTCTCAACCACTAAATTTCTCTCAACACGGAAATTCATCATTTCATCCTACTCCAGGTGCATCTCCATATCAGCATGGGCTTCCAGGTTTGCCTCATCAAGGCCTGCCAGGCCCAGTTGCATCGAGCGGAATGATTGCAGCCCAGGTCGGGCGTGGGCATGCTTTGGAAAGAGGCCATTACAATCAACTACCATCTCATGCTCCGTTACCCGGGCCACCCTCCTTGCCACTTTACCCATCTGGTTCTAGTTCTTTGGTTTCTAATCCATTTGAATTTTCTGGAAATTGGAAAACTACGCAATTAGTGGGCCCATTGCCACCTCCACCTCCTCTTCCGCCACCACCTTCTTTGCATATGAAAAATCTTACCTGCAAGAATGAAGGAAGCCACAGCTCGAAGGATTTCTTAGATGGAAATAGTTTGATATTGGAGCATCCGCCTCAAGCTGAGCCAGCTGCAGATAGAAATGTACAACAAAATGGAGTTCTCTGTCAGCGCACTGAGAACGTTGGACCTAAAGTGGAATCAATGCATGTGGTTGTTTCTCATTCACCCGCTAGTTCTGATATGGAAATGGAAGGTTAGCCTAAGTTCCTATCAGATGCTTCTACTCTCATATCTCAGCTGACTTTCTTCTCTTTTTCCATTTTTTCATTTTTTTTTTTAATCTTGGTTTCTAAATACTGGATTTGGTTGTTTAAATTGATCTTGTTGGTGACAGTTAGGATAGATGAGTATAAGTTATACGGTTCGCGTGTAGTAAAATTATTATTGAGAAGCTTAGTTGGAGATGATTACGAGTTTGCATAGGTGTTTGCTGCTTTCAAATATGGAGATTTTATTACACATTATCAAATATTATAATTGAGAATTTTCCTTCCGTTATCACACTATGTGCTTACATTTGAGGTGTACTAGTAATGGGAATGGTTAATGTTCGAACTTCTGTGGTGCTTGTAGATGATATCACTCATCCTGATGAGGAGAAAAAGGGTTTTCTGTCTATTTCCGATGGTGGATGCTCTCCAGTATCTCAAGAAGATTTTGTTAATAAGGAAGTACAAATTTCGCAGCATACTGGAGAACATGACATTCCTGACGATACTGTATGTGTGAATTTGTTGTTTGCTGAGTCCTCCGTATTGAAGGACCAAAGAAGAGGTACAAAAGTAATCATGCTATTTCTATGCCTTGATGTTGATTGAAATCTTTTGCTTTCAATGTTTATGGTTCTTCATCCACACAATCACGAAAATTATGCAGACCTACTCATTTGGCAACTGACACTATCAATGGCAAAATTTTATAATTAGTTGAGAACTTCTGGCACTTCCATTAGGCAGCAACCTTATCCTTTTTTATGCTATTATATGTATGAATTTAATTTGTGCTATGCACTGGATGAGTGTTATGATCTTCACAATATCTACTATGGTTTTTCCTATTTTCATGTTAATGTTGAGTTACATGGAAATTTTGAACCTTCTGTATTTCAGGCATAGACTTCTATAGTTTTAATCTTAAACTTTTAAATATTCAGCAGGCTCCGACGTGGTGTCACATTCTGTAGCTGATGAATCAGGCATGAAAAAATGTGGACAACCTGAACAGCCATTGGAGGCCAGTGTTGAAGAATCTTCTGCTCAGCATAAAAATTCTGGGCAGTCCTCTGTGCCAGTATTGTTTGGAGAAACTGGAGAGTCTTGTAAGTTTGAATCAAAAGTTGGAGTCGAGAGCTTGTCAAAGCCCAATAAGCGTGCACCTCTCGTATCTGTGATTGAACGACCAAGTAACATTATAGAAGCTGCTAAATTATCTTGTCCGGCTGGGATAGCTGGATATTCTGATGAAAAATATGGTGGTAAAAAAACTGTCACAACTTCTGCAGCCCTCGAATCAAAAGAACGTTTGAGAAGTTACAATGCTTCTAATAGTCCTGATGGGGCCAAAACTCGCAAACAAGGCATGAAGAGCAATCATATCGGATCAGAAGTAGATGAGTTTGGAAGATTGGTAAAGGAAGGTGTCAGTGACAGCGACACAAGCGACTCACCTCGTTATTCACGGAGCCATGCAAGAAGAGCCAGAAGGAGGAGTAGCAGTGGAAGCACAAGTCGGTCTCCTCATGACAGGAGAAGAAGGAGGAGTAGCAGTAAAAGCATAAGTCGGTCTCCTCATGACAGGAGGAGAAGGAGGAGTAGCAGTGGAAGCAGAAGCCGGTCTCCTCATGACAGGAGGAGAAGGAGGAGTAGCAGTAGAAGCAGAAGTCGGTCTCCTCATGGCAGGAGGAGAAGGAGAAGTCCGTGGAGTAGAGGGAGGCGTGACCGATCTCGCAGGTTTGAATGAAGCACATGTGGTACTGATTCTCTTATTAATAGTTTAAGCTCAAACTGTAATAATTTTGAGATCCACTGGTATTTTTTTCCTCAGCTTGTCGTGGTCGCCAAGGAGACGAAGAAGTAGGAGCAGGACTCCTGTTTTGAGGCGTGATACTGAGCGCAGTGGAGATAAGTACAAACGAGAGACGACCACCCAACTTCCGGAGAAGTGCTTTGACTTTCTTCGAGGAAGGTGTTATCGTGGTGCCACTTGTCGGTTCTCACACAGTGAGACGAATAAGAGTGAGAGGTCAAGAAACAACAGGGGCAAAACCCTCTATGACAAAGAAGCTAAGGCTCCTCAAGATATGCCTGGTCGGAGGGAAGACAGAGATGCAAAGCAAGTGCCTGTTGAGTCGAGTACCCGTTCACCTGATAAACTGAACAATTTGCTTTCGGGTTCTCTCTCAGTTGGTGATGTTGTAGCAAGTAATCTTCCAGGATATTCCGCATATGACATTGCCTCAGGAATAGAATCTTCAGCAAAACACCTAGATAAGGTGCCTCAAACTGTCGATCTACAAGGCAAGATAATTGGTGATTCCATTGCCAAAATCTCTGAATATTCTTCACTTGTGCAAGCATCATCAGCCCATAATCCTGCTGATAAACCTGATGCAAATAAGGGTCCCATTAATCAGCTGCTCTCCGTTGAGAGTCCCTTATTAAAAACGTTCTCAACTGAAGTCCAGACTCAGTCTTTGAAAGAGTTGCCAACATCAGTTCCTTCCCAGTCTACTCTTCCTTTGCCTTCAGTCTCCCAGGCGACGAGTGCCCCATTTGGTCAAAATTACAACTTAATGCAACCTACTGCACAGTTTCCTTTGACTCTGGGAAACCAGATTCCTTATCGAGCACCAGTAACTAACCAACATCCTCACTTCCCTAGGCCATCAAACTCTTTACCAAACAACTTTATTCCTCCTCCTCCACTTCCACTCCCACCACATTATTTTTCTACCAATGCAACACATGGAGAAAACGGAAACCCTCCACAACATGCCCAACAGCCTTTGCAGCACCCATGGACCAGTCTGCCTTCTTATGCATCTGCAACAGCCCAGGCAACCGAGGTGCCTAATCGGACCCAGTTTAATCAGTATCAGGCATACCCATTGCCTCGGGAGCCTAATCAAACATTGCATGTCACTGAAAGTATTGCATCCAGTGGTTTGCATGTGAACAACTTATCGGGTCTGCCTGTCGGTCCTCCTGTAACAGGCGACCATGTTACAGGATATCCAATGCAAGGCACAAATCCTTCACAATCATTTTCTAAGGCTCAACCTTATTCCTTAATGGTGAATCAGCTATCGTATGCACATAACTTCATGGGTTCCGGAATTTCGAATCGTTTCAATCCTTATGGATCTACTTCTGATCTGCCACTGGGCTCCAAACTCGAGTCGAATGCTTCCATCCAAGAAAATGGAAAAACCATCAGTACTAATTATGGTGCCCCAGTCGGTTCAAGCTCAGCCCCTGGGTGTATGACTGTTGTCTCTAAAAATATGGTTTCCACATCAAGCTTGCTGCCGGATGAGAGTGTTTTATCAAGGCCAGGTGGTGACCAATATGATCCATTGTTTGATAGCATCGAGCCAGTTTCGACAGCATGTGGAGCTGATTATAAAAAACACAAAACATCTGATGGTTTTGATAATATGCCAAAATTCGATGGATCTGAAAGGGTGCTAAACTCCGAAATTATCAAGCAGGAAGTTGGGATAGCTTTATCAGCAAATGATTTTATAGAAAATGAGGAGTTTGGGGAGACAGCTGATGTTGAGGTAGGTGATGTCTTAAATGGGAGCCTGAGTAGTCCTAATGATGGGATCAACGAAAATACTGTTGAATTTGGGATTGATCAGGTTGAAACTTCTGAGAAAAAGATGAAGGGAAAGGATTCTATGAAGCTTTTTAAGAATTCTATTGCGAGTTTTGTGAAGGAAGTTTTAAAGCCATCATGGCGCCAGGGTAATATGAGCAAGGAAGCTTTTAAAACAATTGTCAAGAAAACTGTTGATAAAGTTTCTGGAGCTATGAAGGGTCACCGTATACCTAAATCTCAGGCAAATATAAATCATTATATTGATTCGTCACGTGGAAAATTAACTAAGCTCGTCATGGTACGCATGTCTTTTCTGCTTTTAAGGCTTGAGTTTACTGGGTTGTTTGCTTGTGTGCAGTTAAAATAATGTCACTTAACATTTTTTTCTTATAGTACAACAACATTTTAATTGTTGTATCTGCATGTACTATTATTTCGTTTAACATGTCTGCGTTGAAGTATCTGAGCTCCTCGGCATAGTGTATTCAGTATGACCTTTTGTCATGATTGACTTAATGATTCATTCCAACTTTTCTCTTTGTGAATTCCTTGCAGGGGTATGTTGACAAGTATGTGAAGATGTAAGAGAAAAACGACTGTCAGAGACTCCGACATTACAGCTTTTTGAACCTGAGGTTTACCATGGATATGCTTGTGATCATGCAGCCAGAAAGGAAGCTTTAGTGGCTCCAGATTTTGACAAATAGGTTATGAGTTACTTTGGTAACTGAAGTTTACACTTCCCAGCAGTGTGCCATGTAAAGCCAATCGACAATGTTTCAGACTGATGGTGTTTCTGTCTAGTTTAACAAAATTAATGATAAAGTTGCGGACCTTGTATGTAATGCACTTCTTCTTTCGAGTTAGGTTTTCTATGTTTTTGTTTATACCTTTTATGTTTCATGTTCCTTCATGGAGATATATGTATTATCCGAGGAAAATTCTCATTTTGTAAATTTCCTATGTCATATTCCATCTTCAATTTTCAATCTGTTCGTTGTGGGATCTATGTCGATAGTTTCAATATCCAATCGTTGTTTTAGATTCCTATTCTTATGTATTTTCGAATGTCGAGTCCTTAAATTTTTCAATGACATAGAAGGTGAAATTTTGATAAAAGGTTTTTGGTGACTCAAACCATTTTATATTATTTTCTTATTATTATTCTTAACATGTTTGCCTTTTCCATCCAAATATTGGGCTTATGACTAGGGAAGAAGAAAGAGTGTACATCCGACTTTCCTTTTGTGATTGGTTTACAAATCATGCAACTTATCATGTCATTCTCCACTTCTACTGCAGGTAGTAACTTGCTCCTTTAGATTCAGCTACAGGAAGGAAATTTTGCACCCTTTGTGAGGAAGTACAAAAATTCTCAGTGCTTACACGGGACCATAGCAATCCTTTTCAGTGGAAATTAGTGAGGTAATTTGGATGTATGTGTATTTCCTTCTCCAATGTGTTCCAATTGTATTCCCATCCCAACTTAATTCATTGAGGATGTCCACTTCTCCAGGACTCTATTTTTGTTTGGACATGGAGAAGTAATATTTGAATGAGTCGGGCAGCTGAGGAACTTAGCTGGGGCTTGGTTTCTGTGAGGTACATTTAGGGCTGTCACTTTGTATTTGAACAAAGTTCTAACAAATCGCCTGTATTATATAACATGGATTCGTCTTGATTCTTGAATGTTCTCACACAGTCCCACATACTCGTGCAAGACTTTTTTGTTAATGCGTAGCATATATGTGTCCTTTTATTTAAGTGAGCTTGTATGTCATTTGATAAATAGTTGAAGTTTCACAACACTTGATGGGTCTCCTCTTCTAGTTATTGAAGCTTCATCACCTGCAGGACCTCTTGTAGATGTTCTTGATATGTCTTTTCATTAAGACTGATATTATGTGTTGTAAGCTTCTCTTATTCGGCTAATTACTTTGGTATTGGAAACTTGACTTTTGCTATAGACGGGGTGGGGCGATAGGGGGAGCCTAAGATCCAACCCCATAATGAATGAGATGGACCCGAATCAAGTGCAACAGGTCTTGGGTTAAGTTCCTTTGGAAACCAGGTGCAGTTTTGGTTTTGTTTTCTTTTTTCTTTTTTGGGTTTGACTTTGGGTTGATGTCATTTTTCTCGTTTTTTTTTTTATTGTTTTTTTGCCAAATGTGTTCTAAATTACCTAGCACCACTTCTACCAGCTTTCAAAGGGTGATTGAAAATGGATTTGATTGGGTTTTTATTGGTTTTTTTGTTAACCATAATTAATTTTGAAAAAAAGTGATATGATTAGTTGTTAGTGGGGATCAAATAATATTCAAAATAAAATAATTAAAGTTGATTTGATTTAAAAGTAGGAGAAAAATGATTTGNTATAAAACCAGGCATAAACTTTATGTCTTCTCCTTTTTTATTCAAAAAAACTAATTGCAAAGAAAATCGAATGCAATATTTAATTGATAATTTAAAATTTTAAATTCCTTGCCACTCGATTGCCATAAAATCAAATAATAAATAATCGCATATAATAGATGTAAAACGTGGCTCATCTACAATGTGAATTGGAAAAAAATCAAATCACATATATTTATATAATTGAACAACCTAAAATTAAGGAATTTTTTTCAAATTCCGACAGATCTTGAATTCAATATCAAATCAACTTCATAATTTCACATAGTCCGGACTCTTTTGAAGTATTCCAAAAATTCAGATATCTCCAAATTTTGATTTCAAATTTCAAATAACTGTTTACTATTATCTTGGAAATAGATAGAATATCCTTTTTTATAAGGAGTCTTTCTAAAGAAGAATTTGATTTACTTCATTCTCTTTGTCATAATTGATGAATTTTTCATGCTATTTTTTTTAATAGATACAAGATGAATTTGCTCATCTCGAACTATATTGCAAATGCCACTATTGTTCTTTGGGACAAAGAATCAGAGATCATAATTAAAAAATCATGTCATCCTTTTATGACAACATGTTTAATAATTTATAGATACTTATATATCATTTTATTAATATTTATGTAAATAAAATAATATTTTATTATAATTTTATTAATATACAGTAAATATAAGGTTTTTAGAATCAGACCCTCATCAAAACAATCAAAGTTATTTTATTATATCATTTGCGGTTTGTTTAGATTTTAACTTATAAACATTTTAATATTTTATAACTATTTAAATATCTAAACAATTTATAAATTCAAATGTTTAAACTAATTGGTAAAAAAATTATAAATCTTTATTTTATTTAAATATGTAATTTTATTTAAAATAATTTTAAATATAGCAAAATTTATTTAGAAAATCGTATCGATCCTACCAGTCCAACCGATCGGTGTTGAATGATTCGATAGCAAATATTTTATTCAAGCGAACTAGACTGGTTATAAACCGGTTCTCGGTCCATCCGGTCGGACTGTGTTCAACCCGGTTTAATTTAAAAATAATAGGTAAATCATGATTAATGTTTCTTATATATTTAATTTATAATACAATCGTAATGTTGTTGGTCCGTGCATCGCATGGGCCACAAACTAGTTGTGGTACATGCAAGGAGTCCTGTGTGTTTTTTCATCATTGATACTAATAAATGCCTTATCTAACCTATCCTTTATTTTTCAAAACAAATAAATGCAATATTTATGATTCCTCTTGAAAATATTTCACGCATTTGCAATCTTCGGGCCATCTCCAGCCCTTATCTCTACTCTAACGCGGACTTTTTTCTACTCTAGAGAGAGTTAAACATTCATCTCTAACCCTTATCTCTACATTTTACTCTACATAAAATATATTATTATTATAAATATTTATTGCCCAATTAATAAAAATGTATATAAATATTTATTACCCAATTACTAAAAATGTATTTTATTTATGATTTACGTTTGTTATAAACTTTTAATCTAATGAAATCTACTTGTTGGAATGTGTTAATTTTTATTCATATGGTACCATTTTAATATTTAAAAAATAGAAAATAAAATTATAATACATCAATAAATAAAAAGTACTAAATTATTTAGTATAAAAAATACATTGCACAAAGTTATTTAGCATAAATATAAATTTATTAATACACAATGTACAAAAATTTATCATTAATATTACATTAAAATATATAAAAATAAAAATAAAATAAAATAAAAAAGATAAAATGTAGCGTAGGTGCTACATTTGGCGCAACACTATTCATTCCTCCCATCTAGCGCAGATATCTGGCGCACCGTTGGAGGGCAGCTCTGCGCTATTTGAGCGCAAAGATACATATGTAGCGCTGCACTGCGAATGGTATCAGTAAATTGGTTCTATTGCTAACTTAAAGATGAATCCCACAATAACATGTTGTGACTTGACCTACCCCATCAATCTATCTATAGGTTAACTTCTAACTTATCACTTATTAAATTTTTATCGTTGGATCAAACACGTCTTGAGTATATGCAAATTCAAGGTAAAAAAGTATACATTCATAGATAGGCGCCTATCTACCCTTTTCTGGGTGAGTGCGTGTAGCACCAAAAAACTATCTTTAAAAATTATTGTAGACATTAAAATTTTAATATTTTATTATTTAACATCTTTATTTATTTTTTGACATAAATCCAACATACATAAGATATATAATTAATAAAATAATTATTTCTTCCCAACCAAGTTAAATAGTAGGATAAGGAAAAAAAAATATATCAAATAAATGACTAATCAAATTGATATCTTCTTCTCCAATACTCTCTTTTTTACATCTATAAATAGGGGCTCTCACAAAGCCAAAAACTACACTTAATAAGTTAAAGTCTTAATTCAAGAGCTCTCAATAACTATCTTGAATATCAAAAGGAGTTCTTGAAAATTTGAAGACATTCTTGAAGATCCAAATGCATTCAAGTTGAAAATCAATGATCAATCCGGTATCAAATCTCCGAGCTTCCGAAATACGTTCAAATGGAGAAGAAGGCTAAGAAGAAGAATAAAAAGGCGGCGGTTCTTTTCCAATAAGTAAAACATTCACTCGTCTCAAATCAATCCAAAAGTATCAACAACGTCCAAACGACATTCAAGCCACATTCGTTGAAAAGCTCAAGCAATATAGCGTTTAAACCGAGAAAAAGATCTCTAATAAGCTGCACCACGGTTATTTCAGGTTCTTTTCAAGCTCTCGAGTCAACGTTATTCAAGTTCAAATCTATTTGAAGATCAAATACAAGTCCACGAAGAGAAGAATCGAAGGGTTTCATATAAAAGTTGTACCGCAATATCGTCTGATCAAAATAACATCATGTTGTACAATAGTTTTATGTTTTTTCATAAAATTGATTGTCACAATTTGGCACGGCCAATAAGTTATGAAATTTTACTAAATAAGTACGCAGTTTTGCTCGAAAAAGTATGAGTTGGCTCGTAACAACATTTATTTTTAATCATTTTCGTAATTCAATTTAAATTAGATCCTTCTTAGATAACCTTACAAAATTGAAGAGTTACAGCTGTATTTGATTTTTCCAAATCTCATGACCTCAGTAGTCAAATTTCATTATGCAACGTCATAATCTTAGAATCATATATTAGTTGGTACTTTTTGAGGACATCATTGATGATTAATTGAATAAGTTATAAGATGAAAAATGTTCCCCCACCAAACCCATGAGGCCATGCTACGAGCCACCTAATGGTGCATATATGCTATAATTATTTGTCAAAATCGCAATTAATTTTCCTCAGTTTTTAGTAAGAAAATAGCAACAAGGGCAAAATAGGTATTTCCGTGATTTGTGTTGTGTTGCTTTGTAAAATTGGTTAAGTTAGATTGAGATGTTGGAAATTGACTAATAGAGTTGAAGCACAGCACGTGCATTCCTCTTACTATCGTCTTCACGGTTTGTATGTGGGCTAGCTTTTTTCCCCTTTCTTATTAATTACCCTTAATTATCTAATAATAATAATAATAATAATAATAATAATAATAATAATAATAATAACAACAACAATTATGCTCATTCGTGTTTATCCGCACACTGGTGGATAACCTAGGACCGTATTGAGTCTATTGACACGAGGTTGGATGGAATTCGGGTTGGTTATTTGAATAATTTTAATTTTAATTTAATAAATATTTAAGATGAAATATTATGTTATTAATATTTCCTTTATCACTTGTATGAAATATATAATTTTTAAAATTTTATAATTACAATATTTTCATCGATTATCAAACTGTTGAACTGGTGACTCAGTGGTCTGAAAATAAAATTGGACCATATGTCGGGTAGGGTTTGAAAACACTTATTCCTTCTTTGTTCATTCTTCTTATTTTTGCCTTTTTTTTTTCTCTCGAAATAAAAATAAAAATACAAAATTTTACTTAAGTATTTCTGAGGTGGGGTTGGGGAGCTGTTGGAGACCCAGATTATAGCTATAGCTATGGCAGTATGTACTTATTGACTTGCATGTGATTTCACATGAGCTGTTATTAATAATTAGAGTTATGAATTGATCATGAAAACATGCATGTGCCAATTAATAATCTTTTTCACTATAAATGAACATACAAAAGAAGAAAAAAATAGCATCATGGCATCAATTTCTTTGTTTCGCTTCATTAGTAATTTGTTTCCAACATTTATTTCGATTTTGTTCATTTGATATAATAATAGAAGTTATATAAAATAAAAATAAAATAAAATAAAAAAATTGCAGTGCGTAATCCCAAAGTACATGGGATTTTTTTAGTTATGACATATATAAATTCATCAATAATATTAAATATAATAAATAAAAATAATAAATTTGCATTATGTAATCCGAAAGTACATGGGGACTTTTTTTTAGTTATGAAGTATACAATAGCAGCAGAACAAATGCAATAGGTACATGTTTATGACAATTCATGGCTTCTCTCTATTGTTCTCTCTCACTCACACACAGGAAATGTCATGTCAAATTTGAAGAATCTTCATCATAATGGTTGGTTGTATAGTATAGGTACATTAGCTGGATGGGCTGTGTAATCACATAATTGAGCACAATTACATAAACTATACACAATAAGATTTTGGAATATATGGTTATTTTATTAATTCTTACTTTAGGAATATATGGTTAAGTAGTTAGTATTCAGTTATCCAGCCTGCTTATTAAGTTGACACTCATATATATATATATATCTATATTTTATTTCAGCTCTATGTTAATGGAGAAAATGGTGATTTTTATGTAAAGCCAATAATTTCTAAACCGACAGTCATGAATAATTCTTAGGACGTTCTTTTACACTCAAATCTATACATACACTTTCTTTTACATGTTGTCTCATAGAAAAATTTATTTTTCACCTACAATTCACAAAATTATATGCGATACAAAAACCGTCTATCCAAATAAACCGCATAATTAACAATTATGCGAGATTTGTCGTATATATACTAAAGCGTATCCAAATCAGACGCACAGTTAACAATATGAAGTACATTCGCATATTTATTAATCGTATATCCAAACCTACCGCATAATTTTTGTTATGTGAATTTATTTCGCATATATTGTTATCGCATATCCAAATTAATAGCAACAAATCTTATGATTGTGCGGCAAGTTTTCGTATATTTTACGTCTCGCATATCCAAATTGGACGCATCCTCAAAGTAAGATAGAGCGTTAACAAGTATACGATACACTTACACATATATATAATCGCGTATCCAAATCGAACATCGCATATTTTATGATTATGCGGCATATTGTCTCATAGTTTACGACTCGCATATCTAAATCCACTGCATATTATAACCATATGCGATAACTTTTCGCATATTCTGTTACTGCATATCCAAATCGAATGTTGCATATTTTATGTTATGTGACATTTTTACATAGTTTACAAATCGCATGTCCAAATCAACTGCATAATTTACCATATGCGATAAATTTTGCATATTATTTTATCGCATATTCATATCGAACGTCAAATATTTTATGATTATGCGACATATTTTTGCATAGTTTATGATTCGCATATCCAAATCCATCGCATAAAATACCATGTGCGAGAACTTTTCATATATTCAAAAATGGAATATTTAAATCCAATTGGTAATTGTACTTTAGCCCCCTATTTTAGATTTTTTACTTAATACTATATAGGTGACCACAAATGATCTTAGGTAATCAAAATTTGCCTTCATCGCTCCCACAAGATTTATATTTTTTTCAATTTTGTTCCATAATGATAGAGCTGCTATATGATATCGAGCTATTTGCGAAACAACTTAGTTCGACTCGTGAACCTCAAGTTTGACTCATTTGTTTCCTTTAACGAGCCGGATTAACACAACTAATCGAGCTCATACTGAACGAGTTAAGCCGAGCTTCTTTGCGAACATATCATTTTTTTTTTTAATTCTTCTCTATATTTTCAAAAAACAATCGAAGGGAACTTGTTTGTAGCGGACATTAAAGATTTTTCAACATCTCGTTTAAGTTTTTAAACTATAAAAAGAACCGAACCGAGCTTTTACAAGCTTAAACGAAAATACTCAACTCGTTTATCAAACAAACACAAGTATGAACCATTCCATTCGGCTCAAATAAAACTCCTAGCCGATTTAAAGGAAAAAATCATACCTTGGAAGGGTGAACTACTAATATCATGGAAACCAATCCCATGTGACAAAATTACAATTTTTCTCTTAAATTTGGTGATGCTTTTGGTACATGACGTTGATAATACTATTCAATTGGTTCCATTGTGCAAAAGATAAAAGAAGGAATCTGCCCGGTCAAGGAAAAACGCCAAAGGAACACACACCTGAGTCTCTCCTTCCAATGTAATCCCTGACAAAAATCACATGTCCAAATGCGGACAATTTTCGACCCACCTATATACCCCATCCCACATGGAGAAAGTGTAACAAATAAACTTTAGAAAAACAAAACA